CCGGACCAGGCGTCACAGAAAGAGGAGGGAATCCTTTTCCCAATTCTTGACGTTCACTGGTGACGCGCTCGCCTGATGCGGTGACCTTCTCCACGGTGCGACGGTTCCTTCCAGCCACGCCGAAGGGTCGCATATCTTCAGCTGACCGATCAAGACTGCTCGGCGTTTGTACGACTTCGTCCACCCACTCCTCATCGTGCAGAGGAGTTTGCCGCATGATCCTGCTTTCGGAAATGTATCCGAACGAACCATATAGCCTTTGTTCGTTGCAATCTTCCTGACACAAAATACACGTGCCCGAGGGATATTTGAGTGTCTTTTCCTGTTCAACCAGTCCACCCGTCTCGTCTTCTAGATCGCTGAAGTCATCTTCGCCCCAGTCAAACTCCTGGTTAGCCAGGAACTTTCCCTGTTGTTCTTTGAAGGCTGCCATAACCTTTGCCTGTCGATCAAGTGCCTGCTTCTTCTTGAGCTCCTTGTGCTCTTTATCTTGCGGTGCAGGCGAGGCAGTATCCATCCTATCAGCCGGCATGTTGATTGCTGCCGCTGCGATAATGAAGGAGTCTTGTTGGCGTTGCTTGAGCCTATGAAGGATCAGACTTATTTTCGGTTCACATGATTTGAAAGCTTCGGCATCTTGTAAGGTCTTCAAGATCGATAGAACAGTCGGATGGCCTGATATGCCTATGTTTGCGTTTCTAGTCAATACTGAAGTGACAAAAGAATCAGGTATCTTTTCGGACCATCCATGCTCCCCTGTTTTGTCCTCAAGAATAGCCACGAGGAGAAGTTGTAGGACAAATTGGATGTAAGTTTCGACACGGGTGGCTGGAATGCCTGGTGTCGCTGCTGTTGCTCTCAAACCATAGCCAAGCAAGTAGTATATCACTTGAGTAAAGAGCGGCGTTCGGGTGAATGCCGACAGATCTTGGAACAGGCCTGAAGGGATTTGGCGGAGCTTCGGCTCATAGACGATGTCGCTAGCTTGCTTTCCGGTTTTCTTGGCCATGTAGGTCTTGTATATGTTCTCTGCTTCCTCCCTTTGGTTGCGATTGTATTGATGAAGATAAGGATCTACAAGATCAATGTACTGTTCCTTCAATTCAAACGTCCCGCTGTCGGACAAGCCCTCCGGAGCACGGAATTTGGTCATCTCGGACAAGACAGCAGGGAACTCGTCCATGTTTTGAATTCGGTCTGACAGGCGTGCAGTCATGTCAGAGAAAGAAAGTGGCTTGAAGCACAGCACATGAGCGATGTCTTTGCGCATTGATGCCAGTTGAGATTCGTCGTTATCCTCCGCGGGGATCAATGACGTGCGCTCACTGAGAATGATGATCAGTAAGTGCACAAAGTCTTCAACCACATCAATAGCCTGACTATCTTCGAATCCATGTTGGCTAGCTTCGTATTTGCCAGTCATCCAGCCGTTCAATCCGAATCGGTCAATCATTGACGCTAGGAAGATTGACGGATCGCATAACACGAGAGCGGACTGTAAGAGGAAGATGTCTCGCTGGTGCGAAACGTCTCTCTGTGATACACTGCGATACTGTGTCATCTGATGTCGTAGAGTGATGCCGTTTCGGACCCAAATGCCTGCACGCATCTGAGCTAGCCATGAGCAGACCCGGAGCGGAAAGTCGAACAATGCCAGTAAATAATCTTCGGGTTGATGCACAGGAATGGATAGAGCAAGGTCCATTTGTAGTTCATTGGGAGAAAACAAGAGTAACCGCTTGATATCCTCTCGATCCATGCTTCGTGCTCGATCGATAAGCCAGGACAGAGTGTAATGGAGGGCGTGATGGAAGCTCATTGGCTGTGCCGCGACAACATAATCGACAATCTTGTAGGACGGACCAAAAAAGGTAGAACTTTCGGCGTCGAATTCAAAGACGGGTGACGTCTTGAACTTGGTCTCTTCTTTGAGCTCGGTCTGGTCAAAACGTCTGCGTTCAGCGCCTAGAGAATTAATGATGGCTACCCTGGCGGCTGCACGTATAGCGCGTTGGATGTTTGTTGGATCCTCGTCGCGCCTCCAGGCGAAAGACTCTGCAAAGTGTCTACACAGCTTGTTGATTTCTCGGGTAATTAGAGAAGCACTAATCCAGGCCTCGGATTCAAATTCGAGATGCTCGCCTACTTGACGAACGTTTGGACAGATACCTTGATGGAGCTTTACAAGGTCTAGAAACTGTAGCAGATAACGTGGCTCTTCGCGAATCCTCTCTTGAACAAACTCGGAGCCCAGTAGGTACTTCATATCGAGGAAGAAGTGATACATTCGACGATTAGTCACAGCTCCTTGCTCGAAAGCTAGTGTCGCTTTGGGGTCGACATTTGAAGGATAGCCCACCTGGCGGGTGGTCAAGAAGGTGTAGAGAATAGCCATAAGGTTCGTCAGAAAATTGCCACGTTCAACAACCTCGGAGGTAATCGATGGAGTGGTCAACATCTGCAGAGAAAGATTGATGATGGAGTGATCAGGCTCACGATCGGCAATGAGGTAGAGTTGTGCCAGAGCAGTGTAGACGCCAGCAAACCGTAGACCCAAGAGGCGCTTGAACTCAGGAATCGTGACCACGGTACTGATGAAGACATCGCGTATACCGATACGCAGCTGCTTCCACATACGCAAATCATACAATATCAGGTGATCGAGCCTCAAACGTTGCCAGAGATCTTCATGAGGTGGGGTTCCAGGCTTCTTACCGTAGCTCTCAGGCTTCTCTAACCAGTATCTGGCTGGCCGTGCTGGCCGTAATGGTAATGACCGAGTGTGAGGTGTCTCGGGCACTGGTAGCATTGGCTCGACATGACTGAGAGACGGCGCGCCAACCATAGGCTCACTATCTGACTCGGCTGGTGTAACACTTTGTTCGAGCTGACCTCGTTGTAGATGTTGAGGTGCTGGCGGCGGCGGTGGAGGAGGAGCAGGGTAGCCTGCCATGGTCGCTTCAGACACTTCGAGCGCCTCATCTGCGCTTTCGTACGCTCCCATTTCAACGTCACCATCGTTGTCTTGAGCACCGACCTCATCGATGTCCATATCATCTTGGGTTTCGGCTGCAGGTCCGCCCTCGTCATCATCGTCGTCATCCGAGGCAGTGGTGTCATCGTTGGTATCGGTGGTTCGCTGTCGCTGGACCCGTATAATACGAGCTCGTCGCTGTAATAGCATGCCGTTGAAGAAGCCGTCCATCTCAGCTTCCTTGTCCTCCATCTCGTGGTCGTCAAGACCGTTCTTGCCAATGCCTTGATTTGACGCCTCACTACCAACACGCCATGGCTTTAGGAGTTCCTCACAAACGGTACGGCGGAGTATCTGGTTGTCCTCTCCAACGCTGCAGCCTGCAATATCCTGTATCCATTCGATCAGGACACCGCCCATCTGTTCTCGGAAAGTGTCCCTCGCGGATCGAATGGTCACAGTGAGCTTGATCTCCTCGATGATCTTGGCCATGCGAAGGAGGTCGTTCAAGTCCGTCCGATAGACAATGGCACTGCGCCCCACGTCGTTGATCTCGTAGGCCTTTGCTAGGCCAAAGGCGAGTTTTTGTTTGCACGCGCGAGCGACCTGGTCCCGGACGTCGTTGACCGTATGCTTCTCATCATTCCACAGTACGAGACAAAACTCATCGCACTCCTCTGACTCGTCTCCCCCCTCGTACCATCGGGAGGTAAGGCGCGAGTTGCGCTCGTCCTGGCGGATGGACTCTTCGGTCTTGAGCAGGCGCAATTGCTCCGGTGAGCAGGAAAAGACGTCGATGAGGTAGTCGAGTGTTCGTGCGATGGTGGTGCGGATGGTTTCTACGAGTTCGTCCGGCAGCATGGAACCTTGCCTTGCCTTGCCTGCCGCCTTGGACTCGCGCTCAGGGTCTATCGAGTGTATGTTGCAGTGAACTGGTCGTATCCAGGCCTCGTCGTCTCCACAGTCGCAGCAGCCAGAGTTTCCTGGCGACACACTGACAAAGACCTGGTGTCCCTCGTGATCAGATGCATCGAAGCAGCGGGCGCATAGCACGCAAGTGTCGTCTGCGCTGCAAGTTTTACACCGATATGTAGCCTCGCCATTCTTGAATATGTGTCCACAAGGCTTTCCTCTTGCCGCTGCCGTATACTCTGCACCCTCTACTGCACCCTGGGCGTCGCGCAGGCTCCATGGCTTCTCCTCGTCCGTCGGGAGTCCATTAGGGAAGAAGTAGGATAAGAAGTCGTCGCGGCCAGCGAGGGAACGGAAGAGAATTTCGCGCAGCTCTCGGTCAGCAGCCAGCTCGAATCGGTAGTTGTGTCGTCGTGGTAGTTCGCGCAGCTGTCGACATAGTTCCTGCTCGTGCAAGGACATGTACATTGTGCAGCTTTCGCGGCGGGATGGTGGGGGTGGAAGACGGCAAGCGGGGTGGTAAACAAGGGTGATTTGAAGGGCGGGATTGTTTGTTAGTAGCGGTTGCGTGGACCAGCCACCAGGGTGAGAGTCGTGTGTTTGTACGGAGCCTGGAGTTGCGTGGTAATGGAGAGAAGCAGATTCGCGCTATGTCATACCTCGTGAAGTAGCGCGGACCCCCGAGGCAGGCATGCGCGGCGCCACCAAGCAGCCACGGTCGAGGTTAACTATTACTTTCGCGCAGGAACTCGTTGACATACGTCGCCTGACACATTCACGGGGCCATCAATGGGACTAAACGTAACAAAGTCTGTCATGTGCTTGCGGATTTGCCTTGATACCTCGTTCTCTATACCCAATGTCCTCCGCCCAAGTGGGCTATGAGTGGCATATGCCTTGTCCGCTCAAAAGATATGTCGGCTTCTGGCTCACCATTAAGCCCAGTAACACAATCACATTGACAGTCAAATAATGTGCTCGTTGCGACACGAGCTGTTACATCAGACACTTGGCTGCTGAGGCTCTCATCACGGAATTCCATATATAGAGAAAGGTCAACATGTCGCCTTGATATTTCGCATGCTGTAGTATACACCACAATGTACAGTGTTCGCTCCAAAGAACCGTAAAGAAGAGTCTATTTCATGTTCGAACTGTGGTATGGCTGAAATCCTACTCGTCGTCCTCGGCGGCCTCCATGTATCGCTGCTTGATGTCCTTCCATTGACGCTGTGGTGCACGTTAGCAGATGCCCCGTCCATTGTGGCAGCCTGACATACGCCGCGGTTGATGCTGTCCCAGATCTTCTCGGAGCCTGTGTCGAATGCGCTGTGCTACTGTCAGCTCCCCTGCTTTCCCCGAGTTCCACTTCGGATGCTGTGGCTTACAGTTGCAGACCGAAGGCGGAGCCAAAGACGGCGAACAACATGGTAGTGTTGCTGCGGAGGACCGCGCTGCAGCCGATGGTTAGTCTCGTCGGATCGAAGGGTATGCGCGAGTAGGGACTTGCTTGTAGACGTTGCCGAGCATCTGCGTGGAGTCGTTAGCGCGCCTTCAGTTGTGTCAGCCGGTCAATTCACTTACGCCAGACATTTTGAACGTGTCGAGAGGGCTGGGTAGACTGTGGAGGGTGATGTGAAGGTGCTTCGCTGACGGTGTCAAAGGTTGAGGTTCGCCGACAAGATTCAAGCTCTCGCGTCACGGGGATTTCCGCTGCGCTCATTGGTGCGTCGTGCCTTCCGCTTTGACGTGAACTTTACCTCCAACCCCACCACGACATTCGATTCACTCTCCACAGCCCAAAGCCTTAACTTTTCGCCTTTGTTGGACGACGCCTGCAACGACTTGGCGACGTCTCACTAGAACGATTGGTTCGTCTTGGCCTGTCGTGACTACCTAACGTCCTCCGGCGCATCCTACCTCCAATCCACCTCACGGCAAGCGCAACCAGCACGATGCCCTCCGTAGAAACTCCTGCAATTTCCAAAGCCGGCATCACCACCTCCGCTACCGGCGAACGTCACATACCCGCATCCGTCCGCCCCGACGGCTCCCTGCGCAAAGAGATTCGCGTTCGCCCAGGCTACCGCCCACCAGAGGATGTTGAACTTTACAAGAACCGCACCGCCGAGGGTTTCCGCAACAGAGGCAAGGCAGGAGTGCCGGGTGCAGAAGCGGTAAAGAAGGAGGAGAATCCTAGCACATCGAGTCCCGCTGCCAACAAGAATGCCAAACGGAGAGAAGCTAGGAAAAAGGCTGCAGCCGCAGCGGATGATGGAAAAGACGAGGGCAAAGGAGCCTCTGCCGACGTGAAGGAAAAGGAAGCGTCGGTGGAGGTCAAGGCGAAGGAGAATGCGAAGCCTGAGGCGGACAAGGTTGTCGACCCCGAGGTCGAGAAAGAGAAGGAAGCGAAGAAGCTTACGAAGAAGTTAAGACAGGCGCGCGAATTGAAGGACAAGAAAGACAAGGGCGACAAGCTGCTCCCAGAGCAGTTCGAGAAGGTCATCAAAATCAACGAGCTGATACGTCAATTAGAAAGCCTCGGCTTCGATGCACAAGGAGAGAAGAAGGGTGAGACTTGAAGGAAAGGCTGCAGGCTACTCTATCGATAGCTATACCATCTTCCAGGCCAACTCAGTTGCTCCTCCAGTATAAGCTAGCGGCCCTGGGACGGCTGCGCAGCAGTGGCGTGGATAAGCATCATAACAAAGGTCTTAATATCCATGGCTTCACACCAAAGGCATGTCACCCGAACATACGCCCATCTCGATACCAACCGCAGAGAGCTTGGTCATGAATCGCAGCGCATTCTCTCGCTACCGCTCTGTTTGCTACAGGCTGCTACGAGGCATCGAGGCGAACGATGCAAATCAGCCTCCCGAGCTTATCGTTGGGAATTGTCGCAGTCCCAGTGTACATGTACCGTAGAAAAGTATGAAAGAGAGATTCGACCGCAAGGCTCAACTAGTCCTCATCTCTAGTGATTTGCTACCAGTGTGATCTCTTCTTCTAAGCCCATCAATGAGGTACTACTGCGAGGCAAGAACGAAAGCAACAGGGCAAGTAGCTCCTCCATGCTCATGTCAAGAGCCGAGACACAAACATGCAACAGCGGGGATCAGCCTGTGATCGCCCTCTTAACTACTGATCTGCAGATGTTCTGTTTGTATATGGCTGAGCGGACGAAAAGCCTCATGTTGTTCTGGTTATTTAACCACAAAAGTCCCTGATTTTACCGTATTGAGATATCACACTGCAGAAAACAGAAGAACGTAAATAGAATCACTAACGGTGAACCCGGAACAATATCAGAACAGACAAAGAACTCGATGGGAGAACTGATTCTCAAAGTACCATAGTCGTACGTGAAAACAAAGGGAGGTTATTGATATCTATACCAAAGTCGACGAGAACACCAGGGATGTAGGATCCAATCACCAATCAGGTGTTCTGGCGTTCCACACTAAGGCCCCGGCATAAGCACTGTATCGGGAGAGCTTCGGACTACTTCCCTGTTCACACTTGTGTGATCCAGCTGAACGCTCTGCTTCCTCGCACTTTGATTACGCAAGGATGATCTTGTTGTCATTGAATTAACGTTTTTCTCTCTTACTAGGTGGAAACGTGCTAGAGTCAACAAACAGCTCCGACTCGGATTCTGATTCTGGCTCATGATAGCGGCCTCAAAGAGAAAGAGGGTTAGGCTATCTTCCATATGTAATCTACAAATTCAGCTGTGTGGAGAAATGGGGACAAGTATAGCACCCACAATTCAAGATAGAATTAATCGGCAGAAGAGCAAGGAGAATGAATTCTAAAGGCCAAAGAGAAGAAGATTAAGAAGAAGCAGAACTCTAGCTTGAGCAGTTTACTCGTTCCAGTGGTAGGCAACAGGCGAGATATCCTGTCCTCCATAGGCTGTACCCCCAAAGTCCAGATATCCCTGCGCACCCGAGTACGGAATCCGCGCAATATCTTCCCATTCACCCATAATCCATACACTTTGCATTCCCATGATCATATGCTGAAGCACATGACAATGAAGCATCCAGCATCCTGCGTCCTGGACACGCAACCTCCAGCAACGCCAACCCTCGTCGTCTCCTGCCGTACCCTTGGAACGATAACGGTACAGGTTCGTCGTATCCCGCTGCACGGGATTGTAGTTTGCAAGTTTCTTCTCGTTCTCAACAGGATCATAAGTCCCATTTCCACTTCCGCAGTCGTAGAAGTGGGCACCGTGCAGGTGAAAGGGATGGAAATCGAAGCCGCCGTTGTTGTCCACGAGACTACCCGTATTTTCCAAGATAATCTCGATAACTTCACCGAGTTTGGCAGGCCAAGTCAGCGTGTAAGGGTCCCAGCCGCCATTCTCCATGGCTGCGGTGTAGTTTGGCATCGCCGCAGGGCCATTCTTGTAAATGTCGACAAGGTATGGGGGACTGTTGGCCGGATTTGTTTCGGTCCAGTTCAGGCCATCGAGCTGCCAGATGGTGGTGGACTGCCTGAGTTGCACGTTGCTCACGTGAACGCGACGGGTCACCTCGGAGGCATGGGGAAAGTTGTTGGGTACCAATGGCTCGAGAGCATATTCAAGGAAGTCGTAGGTGGCGTTGGTAAGAGTTAGAGGGGCTACTGTAGGCGCAGAAGTGATCTTTGGTCCATTGCTCGGGTAGCGCAGGATACCGAATCCAGTATAAATGGCAGGCCGATCTTTGGTCTCAAACTGGATGATGTAGTCGGTCTGATTTCCGAGCTCTTCAACCGTTTTCGTCTTAAGAAGTGCATCGAAACGTTGTCCAGACGAAAGCATCATATGGTCTGTAGTGTACGGCTTCGTATAATGACCATCTGCCTCGATCACGTCGAGCTCGGAGTGGCCCTCGATACCGAATGAGACCATGGATATGGCTGTCGCACCAACAAAGCGCATGCGATACGTCTTTCCGGGTTCCACATCAATCACCGGCAGTTGGCAGTTGCCCTGGCCAGCTGTTTCACCGATAGCTACACCGATACCGTTCAGAAGTACTGCATTCGTCTCGCCAGTCCAAACAAATGGGGTCGCAACGAGTCCGTGCTCCATCGTCTCGTCAGTCTTGTTGAAGTAGTCCTGGAGGAAGACAATACGCTCTTCATCGTACTCGAATGGAGGAATGCCAAAGTCATCAATAATCAGCGGCCCAGCGGCAGAGATAGCCTGGAACCCAATATGAGAATGGTAGAAGTAGGTTCCTGCATCCTCAAATTCAGGGTGAATCTCATAGTCGAAGCATCTTTTGGGTGCAATCGGCCATTGACTGACTGGCGAGCCATCACTGAAAGGTGCTGTGCGTTGGGTAAGGCCATGCCAATGCTGATATGTGTCAGACGCAGTCATCTCAGGCATCAGCGTCTGAAATTAGTCATACCATGGTTGTATTGAACTCCTCCATATCGTTGCAGACGCGCACCCAACTAGTCTTTCCTGCTGGGAGACGTAATGTAGGTCCAGGAGATGTGCCATTGACCAGTGCAGACATGCGATGCTGGCATGCTACAGTGTGGTTTTCGTATGTGACAGAGAGATAGAAGTCTGGGGTGAACCCTCCATCATGAGTATGGAGATGCGATTCGTTCTTCGATGTCGGATAGGGTGCGTACGACTCTTTGCCAACGACTGAATGCACTACTCCTAAGAGCAGGCCAAGAGCTAATTGGGTAAGCATCTTTGACGATGTGGGATACAAGACGGACGTTGCTCAATCTCAGTAGAAGGGATTCCCTATATAACGGTGGCGGTATCTGGCTGTGCACAATCTGACACAGCTAGTCTACCGTGTTTGAACTGTGATCTACGTCAGCGGTGCTGACGGCAAGGGTGGACCCGTGAGATTCTGTAGTACAGCCCAACGCTTCTGAGAAAAGTTCCGAGATCCCGCCGAAGTCATGATGTTTAGACTCAACTCAGCTTGCATCTTCGCACTCCATCTAGTAGAAACCTCCAAACTGTTCGCAGGAGAATCCGTATAGTATGCGTAAGCGCGACGGTCAAATTAAAGTTTCCAGATTCATGTGGGGCCGAGTAGTCTTACTAACGCGGTATACGGCCTACGATGCTCGATAGGGGGCTTGGGTCCGGTCCGAATGGTCGTTCTTTCTCGACATCGCAATTACCGGATCGTCCGGAACACGCTGTAGCACAGTAGAAATAGAGAAAGACTTGGATCAGAAGCACTGAGCTGGCGAATAGCCTAAATGATGCTGGAGACGATGCCAATGCCCCTGATCATCAAACCATGATATGCACCGACTACAAATAGAACCTTGTTCACCTTCCACAGCCTTGCCTGGCGGCAGTCCTCTCTATAAACATCCAACGGCTCTCCTTCTTTGCAAGCACTTTGTAGTGTAACGTCATCGACAAAATGTTTACTAAACTCGCCGTATCTTTTCTTGCCATGCAAATGCTAGCATCGGCAACGCCAAACCAACAACGGAGAGCCAACGACGTTGACATTACGAGCCTAGACAAAAACGTCACATCAACCAGCGGAGTCGGCAATGTCGCAGCTGCGGGTAGTCTTACACCATTTGGCGACATCGGCGTAGGCTGCGGCATTAACTGGCAAGCCGGCGTATCATACGGAGGTACGTTGTTCGCATTGCCTTCCAATTCGCTCTAGCTAACGTGCGCGATATAGGCGGGCTTACAGCAGGGTCCAGTGACTTCGGTCTAGGCGGTGGCTTCAACATAACCCCCGAAGTCCTCACAGTAGGGGCTGGTCTTGGCTTGAACTCGGCGAACGTTTCTGCCAACATACAATTCACGGGGGCGAAGAACGGCAGTGTTGAGCTGGTTTTCGAAAGCAGTGCACCAATTGTATGCACGCCGGGATTCAAAGATGGGAAGTCGACTGTGTCGTGCACCACGGTGTAATGCCTTCGAAGGTTCCACTTCGATTGTATTCACCCTGGGAAACAAGGACGGATTATTAGTCGTGTCTCGTAAGACGGTGTGGTGTCTTCTGTGTAGTTCAGAGGCGTCAGAGTTTGGAAGAGGAAAGAGATGGACAGTGCGATGAGCGGATCTCGTCTTGCCCGCATTCTCCATGTTTCGTTGCACTACAGAGGATCCGACTACATCCTAGAGGCTTGAACTCTAGACGTACTCACTGCTTCTTATGTCAGTGCGCTGATAAGAATGGGGTGGTGTATACCTAGGTACCTCTCTTGGAATACGTTTTTGTAATAACTGAAATCCCTATACTTCGACCCAAGAGATACTGCTGTTGCGATTGTTCAGACATGCCAAATGCCTCTTTCACGTACTTGTGTCGTTACCAATTACAGTATCGAACATTACGTTTTCAGTTCGCGCCTGAGGTGTTCTTCTTGAGAATGAAGCCAAAGTACTGGAAACTGTCGCCTCCACCCATGATTTCCATGTCTAGATCCCACTCATTCTTGCGATTAAGGATCGGTTTGACAAAGTGCGGTTGCCGATAGGTAATATAAAGAAACACGCCGTCGTCTTTCAAGACCCGCCAGACCTTGTCAAAATCAGCATGTGTTCAAGCTCACATGCCTGGGCTTCTGTTATACACTCACCTCACTGATATACCTTCCACTATTATCCATAACCTCTTCGGGTGGACTCCATGGACTCCCGTAGATCATTGCATCTAGAGTGCCTTTGTCAAAGGCGACGTCTACGGACTTGCTATCGATGTCTTTCATATCCCGGACATCGCCGACTCTCCATTCAACCTGACTTTTATCTGGATGTCGTGATTTCATCAAATCGACCACTACCGCGGAAAAGTCAATACAGAGCTGATTCGTATAGCCTCGCTCTAGAAGATCGTATGGGACGGTCTAGCAATGAGTCAGCCCTATGAAGACGTAGCCGCAAAAATGACAGAGGTTCTCGTAGTTCAGTTCACAACATATGAACCGAGAGAATGGTAATATTTGCGTCCACATTATCGTGCAGCCTACAGCTTTCCAAACTTGAAGTGAGGAAGAACCTACGCTGTCCCCGCTCCCCAAGTGAAGAATTTTGGCATTCTTTCCCTCATCCCTCTCCTTATCGAATAAATGCTTCTTAAAGAAGGGCTCTAGCTCATCGAATGCGCGGAACCATTCGTGCGTTGGCTTGTCGCTGTCAGCCTTTGCATACCGTTCGTCCCAAAACTCTGCGTGGCCGAGGGCTTGCGCCTCCTCGGAACTGGAGGGCATCGTATATCTGGTCGATCTTGGCTTTGTGCCCGTTGTAGTAAGCTGTCAATCTTAGCAAATAACAAAGGCTACGAGCCCTCGGAAATGTGAAGACTGGATTCGGAAGTCGTGCAGTTGCGGCGCAGTGGTTTACCCCTCTTTTGGGTAAAGAACGTGAGTAGTGCTGCTTTCCGAATTCTGACGCTTATCTTATCTGCTTAGCACCCAACTGCCCAAAAAAGTCTGCATTCCTACAGGTAACAAACAAAACTTCAGCAATGCAATGTAGAAGTTGTACAGACACATGTACCAATCTTTTTGTTCTATCGCACAATATAAATCGACCTAGCTACAGCAGCGCAACTGGTTTTGCTATCTCGATTCATTATTCAAGAACTCCCTACCAAAGTCCCGCCACTCTCTAGCAGAGTCCCACCAGTGTCACCAAGGACCTTATTCCGACGCGACACTCCTTCTGTCTCCCCTACAGTACCTTCTGCGACATGATTATGCTTAACCAGATTCTTCACTATACTATCAAGTTTCTTCTTCTCGATATGGCCTTCGGCATAAACGCAATTGAGCGTCTTGACAAGGAAATTGTGTGCAAACGTAGCGCAGTCACTTGTGACTTTCTTGTAGTACCGAGGAAATGACAGACCGGCGTTGTATTTGATCATCCTATCTGTCGTTCGAATGCGACAAACGGAATAGTACCGGCCGGACTCTTCGTCGGTACGAGGGTGGTGGAACCACAGGTCGTATTCGTTATCCCCACGCCTTCGTGCGAGATGGAGGCGTATGATGTCCCCCACGCGAGAGCTTTGGGGCTCCTCTTTTGCAATGCCTAAATACTCGAAGTATTTTTTTGGTTTGTCTGTATCAGCTCCAGTAATATCGTGTATAACAACCGAAGCATGTCCGCGAAACGTGACACCAATTTCGCACCATTTCTCTGGATTCTGCTCTGAAGACTGGAAGAATTTATCAGAGTAGGCGCGCTGAGGAAATCCTTGGACTTTCTGTCTGCTGTAGAATTCGTGATCGTCGTGATCGAACAGATCTCCTTGTCGGATTCCTCTGGTTTCACGGTCTGAAGTTTGGGAGGACAGTATGGCTTCGATGGCTTCGATGTCGGCTGGGACTGCTTTACACTCATAGGTGCTAGGGTTGTAGTCATTCAGGTCCGTTTGCTTGAAGATGGGAAGATAATAATCGGGCCCGGATGAGGCATGGCCATCGCGACGGTGGCGATGCCGAAACATAGGTAAGCACATAACCAAACCTTGGAATACCAAGGTTGTGTTCTGAACCTTGCTCAGTAACAGGTGGTAGGATGTGTAGCAAATGGTCGCGTAAGGTCTATGTGGCACAGATGGGGCTTGTAAGATCTTTGTTCTATCACTTTGCATACGCCAGCTGGTTTCACCGGTCCAACGCGCGTGTCCTTCATTAGTGGAAGCATCCTGTCCCCCGCATGAATCGATTTCACCTCGCGTCGTACAATCAAATCAAAGGCTTTATCAAAGTTGTACAGATTCATCATTGAACCAATAACAATAGAGGCTGGCTTGCTTATCGTCTTTGATTGGATGCTGTCAGCCGTGTTGTGAGGTAGATGGCGTCCGTCGCTTAGGCGCCAATGTGAGCTGAACACAACTGCAAGTTGGTAAGCACTCGGCTTCACGCTTTTCTTCTCCTTATCCACCTTGCCGCCCATCATATTGCAAAGTTTTCGCAGCCTGTTGGCGATGTCGACGACTTCCAGCACCTCGAGCATGATGGAATTCGGCCCTGCCAACCAGGCCATCTTACAAACAGATCTCAAAGACTACATGGACACACTTCATGACATATTACGCAAAGAATACAAAAGAAAAAAGCATCAAGAATTGATGGATCGTATTAGGATTCTACCAGGAGGCTGGTCGACAAGTGTTTACCTAATCCAGTTGCAATTCGCAATCCGATGGCATTCGGCCTTAGCTCAGTACGGCGCCTCGTCAACACCTTTACACGACTTGTATCTTGTTAGTACTCCACACACAGTATGGCCAGCTTCTTTCAAACACTGGTCGCTCTATTCCCAAAGCACCTTTTTTCACCTGATCCTCCAGGGAGATAAACCTTACTTCCAAATCGACCGTTTTACGATAGAGCAATTGCAATCTCAGCTTGATTGCATTGATTGGCAGGTACGATGCGACAATGTCCATCGTTTGAATACACACGTTGCGCAAAATCGGCACATACCCATGATTGCATTTAATATTGGGCAGACTCAGTTCAGCGTGGCGCAGATCGAGTGTTTAGCTCAGGCCATTTCCGAGCAATTCGAGAAATATACGAAATGGGAGCAGAACTGTCAGTTATTCGCACTGTCAATTTCGGAAAGAGTGGTAATGACCAAGGGTGTTGGCACTATCTTTGTTGGGACAAGAGCCCAGATTGCGCATTGGGACACCATGGCTACAAATTGTGAGCACTCGTCACCATTTAGCCAAGAAGAGGGATATCTGTTGAGAGATCCAAGCCACGGTGAGATTGATTTTCTTGAGTACCTCAATAGACACACAAACTGATGTACATATTGTGTTAGAGTTGTCAAACCGTTCGAGCTGGCACTTTCTCAATCTACCTGCTCTTTACGCAGATTTGAGGCATATATCCAACGCTATAGCTATTCGAACACTATATCTTCATGGGCCTTACTCCGCTGGGAGCTTCGATCCGAATAGCCGACGTATATTGAAGCGTTTGAGGGAGTCTGGAAAGCAGCTGAGTAAATCCGTGAGAGAATTCTCACAAGATATTGCACAAGGCCAATTAGTCAACGCCATTCGCGGAAGACGTACATCTAATCTTCTTGCATACGAGAACGCGCTCATCGCGGCAAGAAAGGGTGATCGGATTGCGCAGCTTCTTCTCCCGTTCCATAGAATGGTTTTATCGATTAACGAGGAGGACGCCAGCGAGGTCCTTGTCAGGCTCATAAATCGAGGATCGGGCTTGGATGACGGTGAAACAGATAGCCACTAGCGAATTCTCCTGTTATATTACTTTGTGTTCGTTACATACTTCTGGTAAAAAGTCAACTAGTTTGCTTCTTAAGAAGCAGTTGATACCTAGATTGTCTTTCGGCAAACGAATGACGACGTACACGATAAGAGGAGTGGTACGAGAAAGCACATTATTTCAACTGTGCACATGAATTGAAGAGTACTCCGAGGATATTCAATGTAAGCTTTGTTAAGACGCTTCAGGATACGAGACAGCGTATGCCTTCTTCAATCCCAACTCCACATCGTTCTTCATTTTTTGCATTGGAGGGGCATGCCGCAAGTGAAAAACGCCTAACATTACACTTAATTCGTAACCCTGAACTTTCATCCTCCAGCGACTACAGCCAAACCCTCGTAGATCTGCCTCCTCACCCTAGAGAACGTTGCAGCGTCATTATTCCTTGGATCCAGATTACCATAAGCCCCTCCATCAATCTCAATCTGACCAGTAGCCGTCTTCCTCACAGCCACCGTACCGTTGATGACAAGTACACCTTCGCCTCTGAACTCGGCTTGCATGCCGTTGGCATTCATGAGCTTCCTCAGATCGGCAAGACGAAGATCACCGACATGGAAGGGTTGCGCGACGGATCGAACGGCAGTGGCCATGTTAGTAGGAACGACGTCAAGGACGGGTGTGTCATCGTTTTTATCGCTAGACACGGGGACGGCGGGAGCATCGAGTCGAGCTTTCTTCTTCGCTGGCGTATCCGCTTCTTCCTCAACCTTGGGCTCAAGGCTTGCAGCTGCGAGGCGGCCAGTGATAGCCACAACGCCCATGCCACGAACATTCTGCCAGCGCAGGTTGCGCACCATGCTGCGGCTGAGCTTGACACTCCACGCATTCGTGTCGACACTGGCGTCAATCATGATACCGACAGCGGGTGTGAAGACATCGACGGCGTTGGCAGAATCGGTGTTCGCATTCAGTGCTATTCGACTGATTTCGGCGAGCTCAAGAGTCTCGCCTTCCTCCCCGCCCACGAAGATTAGCTTGCGAGGTTTGATAAGCGGGATAAGCTGCTGGATCGTGCGGCGATCGTGCAGACCCGAGAAGTCGACAAAGGCAATCCGACACCGGATCTCCAGAGTTTCTGACTCGATGATGACTTTCGATGGGCCCTCCACCTTGTCTGGATCGTCTTCTGGTTCACTGTCCGATTCTTCGTCCTCGCCTTCTCGAACCTCCTTGTCTTTCCGGCGCTTTTGGTTGGCGTTGGCTTTATTAGTGTCGGTGCTGTTTAATAAATCATCCCATCTCCTCTTCTGACCAACAGCATTCTCCTTCTTTGTTCCTTCACCACGAAGAGCTTCTCCGGCAGTGTTGTCCTCCTCTTCGGCACGAGCGAAGTCTTCGGGTCGAATAAGATCACCAAAGTCGTCCGCGCGACGCTTCTTGGCCTGGAACGGAAACATCTTCTCTTTGCCTTTCTTGCCCTGCACTTCGTAGTCATAAACATTCTTCCGACGTATGAGTACATTTACGCCCAACTCTGCGTCTGTCATACCAAGTTTGTTTCGCGCGTGTTGGAGGGCAACGGTTGCATTGAGCGCTTTTCCTCGATATCCGTCACCAGAGCCTTCCGAACTCTCTGACTCAGTTGATGATCGATCATCAACGATATCAGCAGACGTTTCGAGCATTGCTGCGTTATCGCCGCCCATGGTGGTCTGACGTTGTCTCTGGCCGGCAAGGAACTGCTGATAAAGCGGGACTTCATCACCTTCGAGTGCGACTGCGCGTACCGTGCTGAATGGTGCTTGATCGCCTGCGGCATCTATCACACTAATAGAAGGAGCATCATGTCCTGGTGATGCATTGCGCTGGTTCCACAACTCCCAGAGGTACCGACCGAGACCTTTCTTTTGTGCGCCCAGCTGACCAGCTCTTTCTGTGAGTATGACCAAGTTCTTCTCATCAGATGCCAGGCTTCGAAGAGCATCTTTGGAGAATCCCCACTCGAGCGTCGCATCGCTTGCCAATATCACTCGCGGTCCAGCTGCGCCCAGCATACGAGCCACACGTGTCTTGCGCTCGACTAACGTTATGTGCTTGAAGTCGAACGGGACTCTGGCTCGGTCTTCTTCTTTTCCGTTTTTGTTCCTTCGGTCTTGGTCGGCAGCACTGGCTTCAAACTCCTTCACAATGCCCTCCTCCATCCATTCCAACATACTCCGTACATAGCGCATCGTTGCACCACCAGTCCGACTTGCAAGATAGACCTTTGCACTTCGTAGCGCACCGCCGCCCTCGGCGTCTGCTGCCTCACGCTCCCAGGTCTCCTCAAGCAGATATGCCAGTTCAAGTATACGCGCGCTTGAATCTGATGGAATCAAGACGGTTCCACCCTTGGCCACAGTATCTTGAATCATCTCGAGAAGAGCTTCATCTCGCTTGTTGGGCGACCTGGCCACCTTTACCATGCTGGTGTTCTTGCTGCTGCAGATCAAGGCAGTTGGACGACGCAGCTGTTCCAAGACTTCAGCGCCGCCGGTGCCGGGTCCTCCCAGCCAAGCAGCTCCTGAAAGGACGTGTTCCCTGGCCTGGTTCCAGTCGACGGCATAGACGACCGACTCCATGCCATGTTGTATGTGCCATATTGAACCTCCCAGTGTGTGTCCAGCGCTGTATGCAGTGATGGTGAGGCCATTGAGTGGGGGCGAGTGCGGTGAAGGGATGGGCTGATGCGGTTGCGAGTATCGGAGGGGGTTGATGCGGGCGAAGTAGTCGGCAATCTCTTGGGACGTGGGCGCTTGCAGAAGGATGTTGGGGTTCTTGCAGCCCTTGAGTGCCGAGGAGAAGGAGTAGGCAGACTCGCTGAGAGCTTCGGTGGGGATGATGGACGATGCAAGCGGCGTGGATTCGTACAGGTCTTGTAGCAGCGTGCGGCCGAGAGATATGACGGGGTTTGTCGCGTAGACGGGTATACGCGTGAACAGAGGAAAGTTCTTGCAACAGTGTACGTAGGCGCCGAGATGCGCAGTGGTCGCGTGAGTAAGCAGGATGAAGGACAGGGTGGGGACATGTCTGGAGTGTCGAGATTAGTCGTCGTGTATGTATAGTGTATTGCTGCTACCTAGCGACTTTGCTACCTGCTGCCAGTGTTTCCCGGGGATAGCCCACACTTCAACTGGCATCCACATTGCAATCGCGGCCAGATTATGCACCTACCTCTCAATCTCCTTCAGTTTCTCTACGCTGAAATCCTCGTCCCAACCAACATCGATCAAGATTTGTATGCCTCCATCGAATTCTAGCAATGACTGCGACGCTGGCGAGGAGCTCTGCGCGCCTAGAAGAGGAGTGAAGTTGAACATGGGAGCAGTCGCTATTCAATATAATTCAGGCGAGTCTCAGGCTCTTAAGTGCATAGTGGACGCGCGCTGGATGGAATAGTAAAGTCGTGATGTTTCCTTGATAGATGCTGGATGCAATGAGTCCGAACGCGTCAAAGCGCGCCCGCGTCGGAGCTGGCGAAACATATGATCCGCGCGCCTCTTGCCGATTCACGTGACCCTATTCTCACTTGGGATTGTGAGCCTCATGATTCCAGGGTCCAGCAGAAGACATATACTACCCTGAGACCGATTGCAGTACTCTCTCCGATATAGGCTGCTGCTGTCCAAGGAACGATGCCCGGGCATGATACCTGCGGCTACGGGACTCAGCTTCCAAGTCCGAAACATTCCACCAAGCCTCTCGCAGCACTATATCCCACTAGAAGCATCTCTATACCCACGTCGTTTCCGCCTACTGGTTTTGTTTTGGTGTGGTTCGCTAGCCTGTGCCCATGGCATGCAACTTGTACTGCATATCAATCTTGGAAGAGTCAAGCAGGCCCCGCCGCATACGTGTTCGCAGGCGGCGGCTACAAACAGTTCCGTACATTCGAAATTAGTCGATCACCCGCCCGCACATGCATCCGCTGGGAAACCTACAGAGTCATGCTTTTGCCATGGCAAGGGAAAAGGCAAATGTTTGGGGAGACAAAAGATCTACAAAGACGCTGTGAGGCACTCCTCCACAGATCCATCACACATGCGAGAATACCAACCATGGAGTCTTGGTACAAGGCTGCGAATGAAGTCGTGCTAGCATCCCAGGCGGAACTTCGGAACGAGGCCGGCATGCGCAATGTCCAACCCGCCACAAACATGCAGGAGTCGCACTGTGCATTCAACAAACTTCATCCCAGGTCATTTGCAGTGGATACGGGTGACTCCCAAGGCAAATACACGTCTGATCATCTCCTGATATTATACTCACGCGAGTGCCAGAGACGACGTCATGACGGGTGTCAAATAGCACCATCGTTCGCTCTCTCGCACGCCGTCGATAGACTCGTAGATGCTAGTCTCGCGAATCGCTCAGCTCCAGCCCAGAAGTATTTTGAGCATGGATTAACACTTGCTGCACATGCAGCCATCTGCAACTGTTGTCTGCGTCGCTGACGAATGAGACGGGAAGTGACCCCGCAGCTAAAGCACGCCGCTAACAATGCAAGTCATTCGCCTGTCCTCTTCGGCTGCATGCGTCCGGGTTTTCAATACGCAAGAACGGGCTAATGACCGTCAGCCATCAGAGCGCCGCTATCACAACGCAGGGACAACGATCTGACCCATCTTCATCTGGTCTCCCTCGAGACGGTCACAATACTACACAATGATTGTGGGTACGTCATCACACTGGTCAGCATGGGCATTAACTTCGGAAAGGACTGATTCCAAATCGGAGACCGTATGATCGAAAGTAGAAACTAGGATCCACATCGCGACAAGACGGCGGGTCCGAGACATGATACTTACCACCGAATCATGCTGAATAAATGGCCTTGACAGCTTGATTCACAGGCATGTGCCGGTTGTGAACCACAATACTTGCGTGAATCGTGAACGCGCGCTGTAGCAGCGTGCTGCCCAACTCTTGTCCAGATTCCCTCAAGCCTTGAAGGATCATGTAAATGGAGCATGCTCAACAGCAGTCTAAAGCAAGGAGAGGCAGGTTGTTGTTGGGTTTTGCACTCGAGTCTGTCAAAGCGTTCGGTTGGGACCGAAGGTCAGGGTACTGCGGAAACCCGCTCGGAGCCAGCTTTGGGAGCGTGCCTTTGTGCCCGTCGTCCCGCTCCGGCCGCAAAGTAACCAGATCCTCAGCACGCAGGGAAAGTCCACTGCGCGACACTACAATGTCAAAAGGCACCAAATCTACAAAGCGAAAGCCCTTGCTTTAGACGAACATGTTTGCTTTTCGCCAGAAACGCCCACACCAATGGGAGTATATCGCAATGCTTGGACTGCTACCTGCTGATAGGCGTAGCGATTGTGGGGAGGGTGCATGGGAGCTTATGACATCTCAAACAAACTTTGACCGGCCGTTAATCGCTGGGCCTACCAGACGCTGCTGTCATGATTGTGAGGATCTTCAGGCCTCACAATCCCTGACATGCCAGGTGTGGCTTGATGCTGGCAATACTCAATGGGGCCTGGTCGGGTTGTCAGCTTGTCAAGATCGCCTTGCCTGTCGCGCTCAATAACTCTCTATAACTAGAAAACAAGGTCCGATTCGACCGGATCGTAAACTGTGGAGAGATAGTGTCGTCAGGTCACACACACAAGGCATCGCGGAGATGTAGCACGATGGCTGGGCATCCTAGCGTGGGGCTGATTGTCGGCTAGGGGCGCCTCAAGTATCGCGTATTGACTAACTGTTTGGGCGCGCGGCCGTGAATTGATGGCGTTTGTGTGATAATAATAAGCAGCACATGGAGAAGATCATGGACATGGCGAATTGATTTTGGCCGTCAGCGAATGATCAACCAGAGGAATGCGATACACCGTAGAGACTTTTTACGACGCCCAACTCAGATCTATTGCTGATCCTGGACCACCCACTCTGAGCTGGAGGTGGTGCAGCCAACGGGATCTGAGGAGTGGCTAGGCCTGCGAACCAAGATATGAAGCCGCTCGAAAGCGATTCATGCACCATTCGATACATACACTAGGAACATCACGTTTCAATGCTTCACGAGGTTTACAGCCTCCAAAAGACTTAGCGCTCACGCCGGCGACTGATCTCAAAGCCAACTGCAGCGCTCGCTACGTCTTGGGTTGTCGTCAACACTGTCCTTTGCGTGCCCGGTGCTTCACTGCGAGCGTCGGCCTACTCACTGTATTAAGTCGACTGCGGCCCAGGGCGATGGTTACAGCGGGACCAGTGGACTCGTCCTAGGATTATCCTCCATTACCAGTATTAGAGGCGAATTGGTGTCGTTGCTGCGACGCTACTTTAACACACTATATCCTGTCGCCTTTACCTTGCTCCGCAACCTGGTTCAAAGCTACGCAGGTTGCACTTTAATACCTAGTCGACATATATCCCACTCGTTCAAGCACGCCTCCTCCCATACCTATCGTCCCTTCTCCGCACGCTCACGCTGCTCACATCCCCCTTGGGTGTGCCCGACATCGATATCGACCGCTTACCACCGTTACCAGCCAACCCAACTGGTTTTCGTTCACCCCTGCCTGCACCGGGTCTGTGTTCAGCTCAGCCGTTCATCTCGGAACGACGCAGTTTTGCCGTTAGTTCCACCCAAATTCTATTGGACGTTCCGCGGACGCCCACGACTCGCTAAAGACGCATTCCCCCGCTCTCACGCAACCTACCGTGCGATCGCTCGAGGCATCAGGAGCGGACCGCTTGGACCCTTCTGCGACACTCTGCTCAACTTTCGTGGGAACAGCTGCCGCGTTGTTGTACCACTTGTACCGTTTTGCTTAGCATTGGCCGGCAACAATACAAGATAACCCCTGGTCGCCACTTATTGCATTAGATCGTGCCGGGCTCATGCACATCTAGAAGAACATCGCTCTTTCGTGTTACCATCGACGCGCAAAACGGACTGGACATCCAATGCGCGCCTCTTCCCACTACTAGTCCACCAACGTCCTCAACTCTGGCTCGAATGATCTCGACCGTTTCCGTCGGCCCTTCGCCGCCAGGCGCCCATAACCGCTTGAGCACGAGCTCATCGCCGCAGCCCTCCATGTCGTCCGCTAGCGACTCCCCATTTACCACGCCCAATTTCGATTCCACCATTTTCAGCCCTTCCGAGTCACAATCAGAGGAGCGGACAGATGCTCGAACGGGTTCCCTTGAAGTAGTGCCCAAGGTGGAGGAGACGGAACTTCAACTAGCCGATGTCAAGGAAGAGGCATCTCCGGAAGACACACCCATTTCCCCGACCGAACCCGTACGGATACGTCGCGCGCGTGGTCGGCCAAGGATACACCCTCCTCGCTCACCCACCACTCTTGCTAAGCAAGCCAAAGCCCGATCCAAAACTGGGTGCACAACATGTCGGAAAAGGAAGAAGAAGTGTGACGAGACCAAGCCGTTCTGTAATTGTACCCTTGACTCGTAGTTGTCCAACAAGTACTAATCTTGCCTAGGTCTGTCGTGTCAAAAGAACAACATCCATTGCGAAGGGTACAAGCCTGTTGAAATTTGGAAGAGTGGAAAGGAACGGGCAGCAGAAGGTATGTAGTCTTGCATCAGGAGCTTGCTTTTTTGAAGTGGGCCGAGCTAACATCCAAACAGCTCGGAAGCGAAGTCAAGATGTCAAATTTGACCTTCCGCCTCTCATGGAAGGTGTTGAGAATGATCTTGACCGCCAACTCTTGCAACATTTCTCTAGCAGAGCGAGTGCTGTCTTGACCTTACATGGGGACAAGTCGTCGAATCCCTTCACCAAAATCCTGCTGCCCATGGCTCTTCAACACGAAGGCCTAATGCACTCAGTGCTGTGTCTTTCAGCTTCTCATATGTACTCCGTCAACCCGTTACAGGAGTACGAGGACAGACAGGTCTTTCACCGCGGCAAGGCTCTGCAGCTGCTGAAGCATGACATCGAACGACAGAAAGCTGGCGAAGGTGGTGTCATGGTTTACGAAGACTCTAACGTTGCCCAGATACTACTACATCTTCTACATTCTATTTGTGATGGTAACACCTCCGGCGAGTACCGAATGCACATGATCGCCGCAAAACAGATCGCCATGACCCAGAAGTCTTCGAACCCGGAGTTCCAGACCCTTTTCGACGAGTTCTTCTACTACCATTGGATCGCTAGTCAGATCACGTCCCTTGACGGTACCGAGGTCCCCATGATGGATGATTTCAACCTCCCCTTCAAGATCAGCCCGGAGACTGCGGGATTGATTGGCATATCTGATGGACTCTTTGGTTTCATCTCTAAGATCAGCAATCTGCGACGCAAGATACGTAGTCGCATCGACGAAAAGCAGGAGCCCGTCATGGACTATGAAGCGTTGCTTGCCGCCCACGCCATCGACACTGGCCTTCGTGGATGGGTATGTCCCCATACACCCGGATCTCCGCGCTATACCATTTCTATGCTTTATCGACAAGCAACGTGGGTCTATCTCTATCGCACTACAAAAGACTCGAAGCCACATCCATTCATCAAGAGTGCTGTCGACGACGGCATTCGCTACATCAACGAACTACCAGCGGAAGGTTGGGTGCAAAGTAACGTTTTGCTTCCATTGTTCCTCATTGGGTGCGCTGCATTCGAAGAGGAGCAGCGTGTGGAGATTGACAGAGCGTTCACCGGCCTAATTGCCTGTACCGGCCTAGGCAACATCGGCTTTGCGAAAGAGGTCGTCGACGAGGTTTGGTCCAGGATGGACAAGGGGGATACAGACTCATGGGATTGGGAGAAAATTATCCATGCTCGTGGGTGGGATTTCCTCGCTACGTGAGCCCCGAGCAATCCGCGAGGTTTTGTTTTATTGGCGACGTTCGGAATCTGAAGGTTCCGCGAGATCTTCACGTATCACTATCGGGTTATTACTTCAGGGGAGAAGTTATCACATCGCTTGCCACTCGCTGGCATGGTTGATGTGGGACATATGGGTTTTCTGTGCACGGCTATCATGGCGATGACATAGTGTCAGCCTGTAGCCTGAAGTGCATCGCGGCCCTCCAGTTTCGGACTTGGCATTTAGGGTTCCTTATTCAATCGGTGTTTCTACGGGCGCAAAAAGGAGTCATGGTATTTGGTGGGTCGTCGGAGAGCGGTTTACAAGGCTCGGACCGGCAACGATGCACTACGGCCCTTACGATCAGGTTGCATTGGATGGGTGCGTTCCCCTATAACACACGGCGGGATTGTGTTACCATGCGGGAAAAACGGCATTGCTTGTCTTTGCATTTACTTGGCTTCGACTTCTCGGGACATTTCTTTCTTGTTTGCGATATTGTATCTCGTACATAGCCTTTGGGTTCAGCCGAGCGGCGTTTGGCTTTGGGCGGTGCATGTCAGATCGCGATGCACGTACCCCATGCATGGGCGAGGCACACTCGTACACATGGCATTGCAGCACTTGTCGAAATAGGTCCGATTGCTGGCCGGCATTCTCTTATTTTCTCATTACGATGACGACACGTATATATGCAGGTAGCTTCACGGCACAGAAATGCACGCTGGTATCCACTCGGCTCACTCAATTCTCAACGCAGCTTCGCAGGGAACGCATGGCTTAACGGGCGATCACGATCTACCTCGGTGATAAGGTGAGGAGCTATAGTGCGGCGCTGGTGCACTGTAACTTTACAGTAAGCACCACCCGTGCCACAGCATCTAGACTTCTCCACTCCCTGCGGGGACGTTCTTCCTCCAATCCGCTTACCAGCAATCAAATGCTTTGGCGAGCTTCCTTCGCATCGTCGTTGGAACAAACTCATCGCACGGCGTCGTTGAAGGATCCATGACTCGCACACTCAACATGCAGCCACTTCTCAGAACGCTCATGTGCATATAGCCGGATGACGATCATCATCAATTTCCTAGATGCGATGCGAAAGTATGGGACTAACAGTCAGAAAAGCCATCCTCACTTGCGTCGGCGGAGCCCACGGACGAGCGAGACAAGCCGTTAGGCAGATCGGCCCAGGGTACCAGGTTTACAATACGGCAAACGTGGGGTGCTGTCGCACATCTCTTCTGTGCGGCTTGAGCAGCGCTTACGGTTACGTTTGTCCGGCCCAAACGCGCCTCCGATGCGACCGGTACACTTTCCCCAGCAGCACAATGACGAATGTTACGACCAGCGTTGCGGGAACAACAGCTGCAAAGCAGGAATTCACGGCGTAGAATCGGCCCTTCTATGTGGTCGGTCTGAAATGTAACCCCCACGCTTTTCAGGCAATGCTGGGGGTTATAACCCGAAAGATCCGGTGGAAAGGTCGAATTATAGCCTGATTCGAGGAAAACACGCCGTCGGTACCTGGCACTAGTGTTTGTATGGACGAACAGGAAGAGGAGGGGTCCTTCTGCATGGCTTTGAAACGACATTGCTTTCTTCATGGTTCAGTATAGGGCCGAAGCCGTGAAATCGTGCGCGACGTTACGCACATGGCGTGACACCTTATCCGCGTGGATTGCTAAGACGTCACAGATGGAGGGTATACGTATTCTATCCACGCAAGATGAACTGTGAAGGGGCAATTGAGACCCTTCTTTCTCACCAGCCCAGTCTTCCTTACCCTTTCCTACAACCACATGATCCCAAACGACCCCAGCGATAAGCTCAACCAAAACCAGGGCGATATCAGTATTCCATGGAGGTCAGAGTCTAGAGCCATTAGGCCGTCCATTGCATGTAGATGGGATTCTGATTATTTCCGAGAACACCTTTCCGATCTACTTTCTACTTACTCGCTTAGTAGAATACGTTCATCCCAACGGTATATGCCGGGCCTGGAGAGGTATCCCGGATATACCCTCCACCCGGATCCGGATCCGAATATGGGTAGAAGTCCGTACTTAAAATACCTACGTACCTACACGACTCGGTATCGAACACAAAGCCACGAACGCCTACTCGTACACGGTGCCTGCATATGTGACCTGCATAGAATCTCCTTCTTTCATACAATGCCTGTGAAAACGGCAGATTGCAGGTTGCATCACCGGTTTTGCGGCATGGAGATGTCAAGCCCTACACCGTTATTTGCGAATAGTCTTACACCGATGTAAGCGTAGCTAGCTCGCCCCAGACCACGAGGCGAGGACGCGCGTGGCGGTTGACGCAAGCCATCAATATCCCCAGTCTAGTCGGTGTAGAAAACGTGATTAATTGTCCATGCGAACTAGATGCCCGGAAAGGGTCATATGCAGCCTTGTTGGCTGACGTCTTCCAACGGACCTGCAGCTGACACGAAAGAACGAGGTTGTTGTCAGCATTCCACAAGCAGCATGTGGCTTTCGGCGTCAATGGCCGCCCAAGATGGAGGAGTGTCAGGTATAGTAATCGAGTAGTCACTAGGATGGAGCCTGTCGTTCTCGTCGATCACAGAGCCACGGGCGATATCATCTTGGAGTGTAAAGTATATGCCGTGCAAAAGCTGCTTAATGGCCAAGGGTCATGATATGCCCTAATGGCGATCATATGAGCCGCAAAACCGTTGCGTCGTACGAAGGCATTACAAGTGAAGGCTGTCAATATCTGTGGAAAGGAGGTGGTGGAATAACAATGGCAGGCTTGGAAATACCCTCCGCAACCCCAGAGAAACTTGAGGATACAAGATGCCCTGCTCAGCACTCGTCATACACGACTTCGGCAAATAGACGATGCTGTCATAGATTGTAAAGTGAAGCATTCCAAGGTTGCAGGATCGTATTCATGAAGCTCATGAGATCGTTCCTGATCCAAGGAATTCGGCTGTGAAAGCCGTAGTGTTGATGCTAGTGCATGTTGGAGAACCAAGGTGGTTTGTCTCCCGTTGTCCCCAGCATATGCCGCCTGCATTTACTCATCACTCCAAGTTTTGGGACCAGTGCATCCGTCCTCGCATTGACTAAGTTGGAACGACGTCGGCTTTCTTTGGCGAGCAGTAAATCAGGCTGTCATGATCAACTCGTAAAGGTGGTTGGCCGAGTTTCTTGGAATTGAGACCCGGAAGATTGTCCCCGCCCAATGATAGCACGAAGATAAGATGGCGACCGGGAAAAGGGTGTCGCGACGCAAACGCAGGGGCAGCTGTCAACTACGAAGTACCGAGGCTTCTTTGGTCCCTTACCCAGGTGGATACCATTCTTTCTGGAGATCGAACAAATCCTCCCGCTGCCGCTACGATTGCGCAAACTTTGTTGCTGGCCCACTTGTGGCCGGAAGTTAGAATGTGAGATTTCGGAAGCCATGTGGAGTTGGTTTGCTATTCGGGCCGCAAGACCTGGCCAGCCCCTCACTCAGGAGGCCATCCCGAATCTTTATCGTCCAGACAGCCTCACGCAACAAATCTTCGCAGCGTACGTATTTAGGTACGTACCATCGGCAAGTGAATAGTGGTCCGTTATCTCTTAGGCCTATACCGTGGACAGCTACCGTTCATACACTGAATCAGGAGCTATTCAGTGGTCACTCCTCTTATTCAACATTCAATGCTCGTACCAACGGCCAAGTAGTATCCAATGCATTCCGCGTTCTAGACCCTATCTGTCCTGAAGAATTTCTCGATACGGGATTGGCACGGATAGGACCTCACACGTGCACAAACGACAAGCACTTAGGAAAGGCAACATCACCACTCCATGCGACAATCCCTTGTCCACGAAAGAGTTCGTCTATATTAGCAACACTTCGACATGATGTTCCGGGAGTCCATTGGAGGTCTCGATGCTTTATTTTGCGCGGTCATATTCCATTTGCATAAAGATGCATATCGCGCAGGATTCCGCTACCCAAGATTGGCAGGTTAAATGGAGTGTGGCTTCGCGAGCTGGGGTCCTTGCCGTCTCCAGTTCTGAACAGCTCAAGGGAGGTTGAACATTTCATCGGCTGTAAGCAGTAGCTAGACTTGTCAAACAGCAGCATTTCTTCGCATTGTAGGCTACTAGCTTGCTGAGCCGTCACGATACGTTCTGGAAGTTCCAGAAAGCACAGCTGCAACCTTCCATCTAAAGCAATATGAGACTTGTAAAGTCCGGCCAAGCCCCTGCATGCAGTTCGGTTGGCAAGCGAGGCGGCGTGTTTGAACATGATCGTGTCGCGTGAAAGAATCTCCGCGCGTTGACATGTGAGCGAAGGATTGATTTCATGCGCGCTTCTCTTTCGCGAACGACGACTGATCATGAACATTTAACCAGAACCCGTAGCCATGGAGTCACTAGAGAAGCTGGAGTCGGGGTCTATGCAGGGCAGATCCGAATCTGCTGCTGCTCCGCCTAAGCCCAAAGAAGAAGACACAACGCTCGCCACGCCGGTCCGCGGGGACTCCACAAGCACATCCCACAACGACAACCACGGTATCTCCTTGCGCGAAGTTGATCCTGTATCCGTGCGATTGGAACATCTTACAGTTTCAGTCGATGAATCGCCAAATGCCTTTGCCCGCGCCTTCTCGAAGCAGAAACCGTCACCAGATCGCAATCATGTCAAGACTATACTTGACGATATATCGGCGGATATGCCATCCGGAAGCCTCACGGCCATTATAGGAGGAAGTGGAAGCGGAAAAACATCATTACTGAACTCTATGAGCGGACGCTTGGCAGTGGGAAATCGGCTTGCTACCTCGGGCCGGACGCTATTCAATGGTAGCGAAGATGCATCGCGCATTAGAAGCGCATATGTTATCCAACAGGACATCCTCCTTCCGACGTTGACCGTCAGAGAAACACTGACTTATGCCGCGCAATTGCGACTACCTTCTTCTGTTGACGAGAAAGAGAGGAAGCAGCTTGTTGAAGAAGTCATTTTGGAGCTGAGCCTGAAAGAAGCTGCAGATACTAGGATCGGAAACCATGCGCACAAAGGCTGCAGCGGTGGAGAGAAAAGGAGGACAAGTATCGGTGTTCAAGTAAGTTGAGTACGATATGCATAGGAGCCATACACTGACTTCGTAGCTTTTGTCAAACCCTTCTCTCTTATGGCTAGATGAACCGACCACTGGACTAGACTCAACGAGTGCTTTCCAAGTGATAAAAACCCTGCAAAATCTCGCCCGAAATGGACGCACCATCATTGTTACTATCCATCAGCCGCGTTCTGAGATATGGAATTTGTTCGACAATGTCGTCCTTCTGTCTCGGGGCAGTCCTGCGTATGCTGGTAGCGCGAAAGACTGCCTTCCATACTTTGCTAAACTCGGCCATGAGATGCCTCCGTTCACCAATCCAGCCGAATATCTCATCGACGTTGTGAGTGTCGATAATCGGAGCGTAGAAGCAGAGAAGGCGGCTCAAGATCGTGTCGGTCGGGTGATAGAGGCATGGAGATCGCATTGCAACAACAACCTGCAAGAAAAGCACGAATCAGCCACTCCGGCCACGACAATGACGAAAACTGAGCGGCAGAAGCGACGTGCTAGCCAGACATCACTAATCCAGCAGACCCGCGTACTTACCGCACGAACATGGACTGTAACCATTCGTGACCCTATGGGTAAGACACTCAACATGGTAGTTGCGACTGGAACACACGCTAATTCTTTCGTGTACAGGCATGTTCGGAAGTCTTGTTGAAGCAATCGGTATGGCGGTCATCACAGGATGGATCTTTTTGCAACTTGATGGTTCACTATCTGGCATCCGATCTCGACAGGGAGCCCTGTATAACGCAGCCGCGCTCCAAGGGTACCTGATCTTACTCTATGAGACATACCGGCTTACAACGGATATCCAACTATTCGACGAAGAGGCGCGACAAGGTGTAGTCAGCATACCAGCATTTCTTATCTCCAGACGATTGGCCCGAATCTTGATCGAGGACATACCGGTACCTCTCATCTTCTCGCTGATCTATTACTTCTTCTGTGGCTTTCGTGCAGATGGAGGCCAGTTCCTCACGTTCTTCGGTATCATACTGCTGCATCAGTATATCGCGGTGTGCTTCGCTATGACCTGTGTCGCTTGCTCAAGACACTTCGCTGGAGCGAGTCTGGTAGCTAATCTCGCATATACCCTTCAATCGATGGCATGCGGTTATTTTATTCAGTCGAACACGATCCCCATCTACGTACGCTGGACAAAGTGGATAGCCTATGTCTTCTATGCTTTTGGAGCTTTGTGCGCCAATGAGTTCACAGGTTCGTTTTATGACTGCCCGTTGGAGGGTGGGCGGTCAAATCCAGCCTGCAAAGAATACGACGGTGACTTTATCATGGACTCTCTTGGTTTTCCAGACGACTGGGTTTGGAGGCCTATACTTGCCCTTCTTGGGTTCGCCATCGCCTTTTATATAGGTGCAGGAGTGTTGCTCAAGTTCTGGAACGCCGAGATTGCGATGGCTCGCGCGAGACCGTCCAATATGGATGCCTCTGCTGGTAAAGAGAAGATGAGCGAGCGTGTGGCGGACAATGTCAGAACAATCGACATTCGGCTGGAGGGCTATGGTATGGATGTTGAAAAACGCTCATTACGGAAGCGCTGGACGAAGACTATACTCAAGCCGCTTACTGCCGACTTTTTCCCTGGGTCATTGAATGTCATCATGGGACCTTCAGGTTCTGGGAAAACGTCATTGCTGAATAGCATGGCAATGAGACTCAAAGACGATACATCGACGCGTTACAAGCAGTATGGCTCGATGAGCTACAACGGCCTGATCCCAGCCCAAGAAGTGGTTCACTCGATCTGTTCCTTCGTCACGCAAGACGACGATGCATTACTAGCATCGTTGACAGTGCGGGAAACCCTTCGTTATGCAGCCGGTCTACGTCTTCCAAAATGGATGTCGAGAGAACAGAAAACCCAGAAAGCCGAAGAAATCTTGCTGAAGATGGGTCTCAAAGACTGTGCAGACAACCTCATTGGCAACGATATTATCAAGGGTATCAGTGGCGGCGAAAAGCGCCGTGTTACGATTGCTGTCCAAATCCTGACAGAGCCGCGTGTTCTGTTGCTTGACGAGCCGCTGTCAGGCTTGGATGCATTCACGGCGCTATCCATTATGGATGTACTCCGTGGTCTGGCCCAGGAAGGTCGCACACTGATCGTCACGATCCATCAGCCGCGTAGCGATCTCTTTGCTCATTTTGGCAACATTCTGCTTCTTGCTCGCGGTGGACATCCCATTTATGCTGGTCCTGCTGACAGCATGTTAACTCATTTCGCCGGCCTAGGCTACGAATGCCCGCGTCATGTCAATCCAGCTGACTTCGCTCTCGATTTAATTACTGTTGACCTTCAGCATGAGAGACGTGAGGCGGCCAGTCGAAAGAAGGTACGCAAGTTGGTCGAGTCATGGAATGCTAGTGTTTA